TCAGTGCATGGCTGGGCTCACCAGCGTATGCTGTGGGGCAGGGTGCACACCCGCGGCAAAGCATCCCCTAAACCCAGATCCCCGGCCAGCATCCACAGGATGCCCTGCCTGGGACAAGCAACCGCCACCGTTTGTCCCGCGGCTGCTGAGGATGCCTCTGGTGGGGAGGGGGCTGCGTGGTGGGGGCAGAGCCGGGCCCCCCCGTCCCCCGCGCCGTGCTGACAGCGCGGGCTGTGCAGAAAGCGCTCTGCTCAGCAATTTCTCACGCTGCCTCCGAGCATGCAGCAAGGTTATTTCCAGGAGAGCAGCGTCGGCAGCTTCTGCCCAGCTGCAGCACATCCCTCCCCCACCGGCTCCTGGCTCCTGAGGACTGGGGAACAGAGGACCCCCTGGCCAGACTGGTCTAAAACCCCAGCCCCGGGCTGGGGAGCACTAGAAAAGGGGGGACAGGCACCACAGCGGTTGGGCAATGTTGACTTGTGCATGGCTGGATCAGGCCCATTCCCGCATCCAGCTCCGTCTCCCGGTCCCCGAGCATCCAGGACTCCCCAGTCTACGGAATGGAGACCCCTGACCTCCCGCCGTCCCCTCTTCTAGGACAGGTCTCTGGGCCGCCCCATCAGGGGGCTCTGCCGAGCCCGGGGGACTCCGAGCCCACCCCAGATTCCCCCCGCAGGATGGGGCTCCAAGGACCCCGACCACCCCCAGCCCAGCCCTTCGCACCTCTCCCAGCGCTGCGACCAGGGGTGCCCCCCTATTCTCCCCCGTCTACTCCCCGTGCCCCGGGGGGGCGCCGGCTCCCACCGCGTTCCCAGGGGGGCTCGGGGCACCGCTGCGAACAATGAAACCCGCCGGCACGGCGAGGCTGCCGCCCCCGCCGCCCCTCTCCGCCCCCGCAGCCCGGCTGCTTCGTGCCCCCCCCAAAACTTGTCGTGGGAAGGAGCCCGTCTCGGTGCTCCCCGGGCGGAGGGGGGGGCTCGGGGCCGCCCACGGGGCTGACGCTGTCACGCAGGGGATGTTTCCCCAAAGGACCAACTTCGTCAGCGGCCGGTGGCCCCGGAGCGGGGGACGAGACGATGAGGGATGACACCCCCCACCCGGCACCCCCGCCCGCCGCGGGACACAACGCGGGGACCCCCGGCCCGTCCTGCCCCGCGTCCCCCTGTGTCTCCTCCCCGGTGCCCCGCCGGGAGTACAGACAATAGCGGCGGGGGGGCCCCTCCGGACCCCCGGCCCCGCACTCACCATCGCCGGCGGCGGGGCCGGGCAGCGTGTAGGGGGGCTCCAGGGGGGCGTAGGGGGGCGCGGGGGCCCCGGCGGCCGGGAACGCCTCCGCCTTCAGCTTCTTCACCAGGAAGGAGCGGGGCATGGCGGGGCCGGGCAGCGCTGGACACCTCCGGTACCGGCACCGCCACCGGTCCCGGCCCCGCACCGGCCCCGGCCCCCGCCCGCCCCGGCCCCGGCGCTCGGCCCCGGCGGTGCGCACGGAGAGGCGCGGGGAGGCGAGTGCGAGGGGCGGGGAGGCGGCAGGGCGGCGAGGAGGAGGAGGAGGAGGAGGAGGAGGAGAGGAGGGGGGGGTAGGAGGGGGAGGAAGGCAAGCGGTCGTGGGGGGAGGGGGCTGCTTCGCCCGGCCGCGCCTGGAGCCCCCCCGGAGCCCCCCGAGCCGCCGGCAGCGCGGGGCGCCCCGGGCATCATGGCAGTGCGGGGTCCCCGGTCCCTCCCCCGGCTTCCTCCCCCCACCCCGGCCACGGACAATGGGGACACGGGGGGACCGGAGGGTGGGACATGCGGCTGCCTCCCACCGCCTTTGTCTCCCTGCCGCCAGCCCCCAGGGCCAGGGAAGGACGGGGCTGCGGGGTGGGAGTCCCCATCCCCATGCCTGTCCCTATCCCTGTCCCGTCCCTTGTCTTCTCTTGCCTCCGTCCCTGTCCTCTGTCCCTGCTTCTTGACCCTTTCTCTTTTCTCTGTCCTTGCTCCCTGTTCCTATCCCTGTTCCCTGTTACTATTCCCATCCATCTTCCCTGTTCTCATATCCGTCCCCAGTCCCTTTCCACTGACCCCTTTCTCTTGTCCTTTTCCCTGTCCCTTGTTCTCCGTCCTCATATCAAAAACCTAAATTGCGAGCGTGTACAAATCCCTGTTCCCTCTTCCCTGTCCCACCTCCGTCCTGTCCCCATCCCTGCTCACTGTTGCCATCCCTCTTTTCCTGTCCCTTTTCCCACCCATGTCCCTGTCCCCATCCCAGTCCCGGGGAGGCACCCACAACAATAGCCGGGCTCGTGGCAGTGCATTGTTCCCCGCAGGAGACCCCACTCCCACTTCCCCCCTTCCCCTCACGGCTGCAGGCAGCCCGTGGTCCGGCGCTGCTTCTCTCTGGAGTTGTGCTGTCTGAGGGCCAGTGGGTGACACGGGGACCTGGCTGGCAGCGGGCCCTGCTCCCCCTGAGCCCTGTGCAATGCTCAGAGTGTTGCAGCACTTAATAAGGATGGTCCCCCAGCTGTCACTGCAGGCAGAGCACTGGCACGGCTGGCACGGGGCAGCCCTGGGCACCCCCAGCCTCGGCAGGCACCAGCCCCTTTGGTCAGGGATGTGGCACCAGGTCTGGAGGCCTAAAGCAGCACCTCTACAGCTGGCACTGAGGGCCTGACTGCTCACAGCCATGTCTGCTCCTTCAGTTGTGCCCAGAGACAAGGCTGGAGCCAGCCCTGCATTGCATCAGGCAGTGCCCCTGCTCACTGCTGTGTGTGGTAGCCCACAGCCCAGGGCATCCCACAGCATCCCACAGCCTGGAGCATCCCACAGCCCTCAGCATCCCACAGCGTTTGATACCCCACAGAATCCCACAGCATCCCACAGCTCAGTGAATCGCATAGCTCACAGCATCCCCCATCACACAGTATCCCATACCCAGAGCATTGCACACTCCACAAGATCCTAGGGCTGCTCCCCATAAGGTCTGGGGTCTTTCCACCCTACTCCCAGGGCTGTGGGTCCCAGGGCTGCTCCCCACATGGGCTGGGGTCTCTCCCCTCGCTCCTGCAGCGCTTGGCTGGGGCTCGCTGGCAGCACCATGAGCCCCATCTGTCCCCGCAGCGCCGCCCTGACGTCAGGGCTCTGCCAAGTTCAAGGTCACCTCTCCCAGAGGGCTGCAGCCCCAGGGGGACATCGCCTGCCGGGCTGCTCCCAGCATCCCACACACACACACACACACACACCGGGCTCCCGGCCTCTGCTCCCTGATTTATTTATCCGTGCGTGTGCCGGTTCTCTCCTGGAAGGCACGTTTGCAGAACGGATGATTACTTACGCCCTAGTTGGGCCTGCCTGAACACTGCCCGCTGCCTGCCTGCTGCCCACTGCCTGCCCGCTGCCTGCCTGCTGCCCACTGCCTGCTGCCTGCCCACTGCTTGCCCACTGCCTGCTGCCTGCCCGCCCGCCCGCTGCCCTGGGATTTTGTCTCTCTCCAGGCTGCGGTGTAATAAGGGAGGTAATTAAGTGTAAAAGGCAGGAGGAGGGAGGGCTGGGAGGGGGGAGCAGCCCCGGCTCCTTTCGGAGGCAGGGGACTGCGATAATGTATGGTAATAACCGCAGCCAGCCCTGCCGAGCTGATAGCGCTGACGGCAGCGCCTGGGCCCCCCCAAACCTGCCCCCGCCGCCATGGGGAGGGGGGGGCAGCGCCAGAAGAAAGGCTCAGCCTTCCTCCGACGGGTTTGTGCCTTCCCGAGCAGCTGTATGGAAATAATTCCCATCGGAGGCAATTGTTTTCCCAGCAAGAGGGAGGGGTCTGTGGGGGTACGGCGGGTGAAAGGTTTTGGGGGCTCCCAAGGGCAGGAGCATCCTTTTGGGGAGCAGGAGGAGAGGGGTCAGGACTCTGCCTCAGCTCCCAGTCTCCCCACAAGGGACACATCCCACTCCCAGGATGAGACAACCTGCCCTGCTCTGCCCCCACATCTCCCACCGGTCCTCAGCCCCGTGTCCCCCACGGATCCTGGATGTGGGGGGCTGTGGGGTCAGCCGGGAGCTGCCGGGGAATGCCCAGTGGTGCTGGGGGTCAGAGCCTGCTGCCCTCACTCCTGCCCTCTCCGCTGCCTCAGCTGCAGGTCCCCCCACCACTGCCAGCTCGGGAGGCTGCTGGCCATTAGGTATTCCAAGCGCGTCCTTCCCGGAGGCGGCCGGGCCGCAGCCGGAGCCCCGAAGTGGCTCCAATCCGTGGTCTGGTGCTGCCGCCAGCACGGGGAGCAGATGCCAGACAAAGGGCCGGGGACAAAGGCCCGGCTGCCTCGTGCCCCAGGGAAGGGGCGCAGGCGCGTGCGGGGCACGGGCGCTGTCCCATCCCAGAGCTGCCGCTGCCCCCTGACCCCCTGTGCCTGCCATACCCTGGCGCCTGCCTGGCCCCTGACCCGGCCAGCACAGCCAGGGCACAGCTGGGTACCAGGTGGCCCAGCCCTGGCATTGGTGGTGTGACAGCCTCGCCGATGGGCACTGTGCCCACTCCGCTCTGCTGCGGCCCCTCTCCAGCTCTGCTCCCCCAGCACTGCCCTTCTTGGGTTCAGCAGGGCACAGGGCTGCAGGGAGGGATCAGAAAGCGTGGATGGAGCCACAGCAGAGGATGGCAAATGTCAAGCACATGCCCCCAGTTCCACCGTGCCTCAGTTTCCCCAGCTGCTATTGGGGTCCTTTGTGAACGCACTGTGTCCCCCCGCCAGCCCCCTCCCCATGGCCGCCTTTGTCCCCGCTCCCCCCAGCTGGCTGCAAACCCCCTGTCTGGGGGCAGCTGCCTCAGCACAGGGCCGGGAACGCTGCCGGGTGCAGCTGGGACTGTGCCCACTCGTGGAGTCCAGGGGGGCTTTGGGGCACAATGCCAAACGGTGACAGACCCCCCAGGGGAAGGGATGAGACACGGTCCCAGCTGAGAGGTACCCAGGCGGGAGGCACTGGCCCAGGCAGCCCTCTCAGCATGGGGGGCAGCAGGAGGCAGAGGGCTGAGCAAACACCTTCTATTGCTTTCATGTGGTGAGGACACCCTGTAGCCAGGCTGTGGACAAAGCCACGGAGCTGCTGCTGCCTGGGGACCTGGCAGAATCTGGTGGGGAGACGTGCCTGCAGCCATCCCAGTCCCAGCGCTGCTTCCCAGCCACCCAGCCTCGCTGGTTTTGGGAGCTGGTGCTGGCAAGAGGGTCAGTCCTGGGGTACCCGTCCCACCGGGCACTGCAGGCTGCAGTAGTCAGCGGATTTGAAGAGGCCGTAGATGTTGACGAGGGGGAACATGAGCAGTGCCCCGAGGAGGGAGCCCAGCTGCTCCAGCACCCCGTACCACACCAGCGCACCGCGGCTGCGGCTCCGCAGGATCACCCCGGCCATCACCTTCACGTAGGTGAGCGTCCCGGTGAACAGCACCCAGGAGAGGACCTGGCAGCACAGGGGGGAGAGAGGTCAGCAGGGCTGGGGGGGGTCTCAGCTGTGGGGATGGGGGACAGATGCAGGGGTGGCCTCGGAGATGTCCCCGGGTGGGAGGGACCCTGTGACTTACAATGATGGCATCGCCCCACTGTGACTGCTGGAGGAGTGGACAGGGACTCATCACCGCGATGGCCATGTTGTAGGCACCAAAGCCTGTCCCTGCCATGGTGAGGAAGCCCATCAGGGACAGGGACCTGCAAGGGACATGTGAGTGACACTGGGGAACACCACCAGCCCATCCCTGGATAGCGGCAAAGACAGCTCCTTGCTGGCTCCATCCTCCATTCCTGGGGTGTCTGTGCTGCCAGGGCATGGGCACCCCACAGACCCTCTCCCACTCGGTGCCTTCTTCCCAAGCCCCTGCAAAGCAGGGGCCGTTCTTAGAGCAGAATCCCCTGGGGTGCACCCTGCTACATCTCCCTGCACCCCGCTACCCACCTGCTGGGCAGGAACATGGCCACGACGCAGGCCAGGGGGTTGGCCATGGAGCTGAGCGTGGTAGTCAGGTGGTAGGTGGTGTGGCCATAGGGCAGGCAGGAGTAGGACTGCACAGATGGCAGGACCCCGTTTGTCAGGGCGCTCACCCAGGCGATGACGAGGTAGATGAAGGTGAGCTTGGTCAGGGAGTAGGAGACCTCCGGCAGGATGTCCCCGGGTCCCCTGGGATCCTTCGAGCATGAGCAGCTGTTCTTCAGTTGCGAGTCAGCTGCCTCGTCAAGGATCTGGTCAAATGAGTTCAGCATGATGTTGCTGGGAAAGAGCTGCTGCTGGGAGAGCTCCCACACCTTGGGCTGCCGGGTGAGGAAGAAGAAGGCCAGCAAGCAGGTCAGCATCATTGCAGTCATGAGCAGGAAGAAGACAAGGGTGGAGAAGTTGGGTGGGAGGTACTGGGTCTCCAGCTGGAAGATGGTGCTCTCCACAGTCTCATTGCCAGTGGTGATGTTGGCGCAGCGGGACATGCCGGAGCCCTGTCCCAGGGCGATGAGAGCAGGGATCAGCCCACTGAGCCCTTCGCCGATGAAGAAGGTGGTTGTGTACTGGGGCTGCAGCTGCATCATGAAGGGCAGGAAGGTGACGGAGGAGGTGCAGTCCACCAAGGACAGGAAGAAGGTGAGGATCAGGAAGGCGACGCTGTGGGACTTCCCAGCGATGACAGAAGTGTGGTTCCAGAGGAAAGACAGGAGCAAGGAGGCTATGACACCCACAGACACAATCACGTAGATAACAGCCACCTCCTTCAGCAAGCCAGGCCGAAAGCGGTTCATGAGGGTGACGAAGAGTGGTCCCACGTTGGCCATCTGGATGATGATGGTGATGTAGGAGGGCAGGTCCCACTGCTCCGGTAGCACTGTCACCAGCAGAGGCACCTCCACCCACAGCCCATTGACGGCCACCCAGGAGCCTGTGCCGAAGGCGCAGGCGAGGAGGTGGGTGAGCAGTGCCATGGCTCAGGGCCGGGTCCCTGGGCCCAGTGGTGACGCTGCCGTGCTGCGAGGAGAGACTGGGATGAGCGTTGGGGTGAGATCTGACCGCACCAGGCCCTGACCGCGTCCTCCCATGACCCCTGCCTATGTGGGCAGGCAGGCAGAACAGCTTCCCTCCCACATGCTACAGGGGTGCGGAATCCACAGCCCAGCCCAATCTGCCTTTGCCCTCTGCAATCCCTGTGGACCCCTCTGCTCCCTTCAAGTGATGACACTGTGCCCTCTTGCCCTGGGTGTGGAATCTGATGGGCTCCACCTGGTCCCATCCCGGAGGGCTAGGGCTTGGCAGCAGCAGGTGCAGTACCCAGGAGGGCATTGAACCTGCCAGAGCTCACGTCGCAGCACGGCACAGCCTTGAAGGGTTCAGCACAGCCCATCGGGGCCCGGCACAGCCTGGTGCAGGGTAAAGAGGGCTCTCACCTGGAGGCTGAGTGGCCTGGGCAGCTGCTCTGCTGGGAATGGAGGTCTTGTACCTCCCACTGCACGGGCAGGGCAGGGCGATGCAGGGCCCGTGTCCTCCCAGCCTGGTTCCCGCGATCCCAGCACGCTCGGGTGGCCGAGGGAAAAAGGCCCCAGCAGCTCATCCTCCAGCCCAGCCTCTGCTCGTACCAGTCAGCTGAGTCAGCTGTGATCCGGGCACATCCCCTGCCCACTCCCATCCCGCTCCTGGGAAGGACTCTCACGTCCCGTGCCCCCACGTTCCATGCCCCCGCAGTCCCGCAGAGCCGCCTCCAGCCCTCTCCCGGGGCGCTGAGCCCTCCAGAGGAAACTCACGTCTCACGGGGCTGAGCCTGGCGGGCGAAACAACCCACCCATGGCCCCGGCCCCGCGGGGAGGCATCGGGGTTGGAGCGGGAACCGGGAAGGAAGTGGGCTCCGGTCTGACCGGTCCCTCGGTAATCTCCCAAGGGTAACTCACTGCGCTTTGGGAAACCCGGCAGCACCACGCGGGCAGGAGCCAGTCCCGGCTGCCGGAGCTGTGACGTGAGGAGGCGCGTCACCACCTCCGGATGCGGATGGGTGACAGCCTGGCCCTGCTCTGCTCTTCGTCTTGGTCCCAACTGGCAGAGTCTCCAGCTCAGGGGGGTGATTATTCTTGGCGGTGTCCTGGACTTTGCCCTTGTCCCCGCCTGAACTGCTTCCCACCTATCACAGACTCTTCTTGCAGGTGCGAGTGTCGCCCGGTGACGGTTTCTGTCCCCATCGGGGCTCTCTGTGGGGTCTTAGGTTGGCATGGGACCCTCGGGGACCCCCGAGTGTGGAAGCTGTCCCGCCGTGGAACACTGCGGGAAGCCAACTGTGACTCAGCATCTGAGCCACAAGCACCAGTCGGGTGAGGAGACAAACTCTAGGCTACCCCCCGCAGCACCCCCACCCCCCGTCCCATCCCAGCACCCACCGCCCCAGGATGCCTCATGGCAGCTCTTCCCCCAGCACCCACCGGGTGTCGCTGGGAGAGCGGGCTGCAGTCCTGCGAAGCCTGGAGCTGCCTTCTCCCGCCTGCCTGCCTGTTTCCCTACTGTTCTCCCTGTCTGCCCTCCCTGCCCCGCTTCCCTGCCTGCCCTGCCTGCCCTGCCTGTCTGCCTGTGCCTGTCCCTGTCCCTCCGGGGGGCTACTGCTCCTGTGGGAGTACCCATAGCAGCCAGGGCTGTTGAGTGCAGTGGGGACAAGGGTGTCCCCTGGCACTGTGGGGACAGGGGGTGCCCGTGGTGGGGGGATGGTCACAGTTTGAGGTGCTGCTGTGGTTTAACCCCAGCAGGCAGCTCAGCCTTCCCCCCACAGTTGCTCACTCCCCTTGGTGGGATGGGGGACAGAATGGGAAAAGGGAGAAAGGTCATACCTTGAGCTAAAGTCAGTTTAATAGGGAAAGCAAGGATGTCCTACAGTCCAGGGTATCCCTTGGTCAGGGGGGCAGCTGTCCCACCCATGTCCCCTCCCAATTTCTGTGCACCCCCAGCCCTCTCATTCACTGGTGGGCAGTGTGAGGAGCAGAAAAGTCTCTGGTACTGTGTGAGCACCGTTCAGCCATAATCCAACACCCCCAGGTTATCAGCTTTCAACACAATTCACAAACAGTCCCACACTGGCTCCTATGGAGAAAATTACCACTGTCCCAGTAAAGAGCAGTACAAAAGCCCAGGGGACCTGGAAGGCAGGGAACAGGTCCAAAGCACTGGGGGAAACCGGGTGCAGGGAGCTCAAACCGGCCCTGCAGCAACTGAGGTTGCTGTGTGTCCATAGTGATGTGGACAGGGAGGGGATGACAATTGTGCTGTGTTTAATTTGGCAGCACAAAGGAGCAGCCAGGCCAGTGGTGAGACCCTTCCCAAGGGCGAATGGCTGCGGGGCAGGGGCACTGGAGCTCGGGGGGGTGCTGAGTGTGGGACCCCCATGCTGCCCCTTCACGCTCCTCACCCAAATCCACCCGACACGTGCTGCCTGCCCTGCCTGTGCCTTCTCCGCCCCCTGCCCGTGCCTCCTCTGCCCCCTGCCCGCCCCACAGCTGAGCCCCCGGCCCCCAGCCCCTCACCCCTCCACACCCCCAGCAGATGCGAGCGAAGGCCCCGGAGGCAGATGGCAACATTTGGTAGCCGAGTGGTCCCTGCCTGCGGGCCTTTGCTGGGCTGTGGTGACCATCCCTCTGGAAAACCCCCTCCTCACCAGCCAGGACTGGGCACCCCATCCCAGCTGCAGCCAGTACAGGGCAGGGGTTACAGTGGGGACTCCCCAGGCTGGGCATGCTGCCCGTGCCATGGGGGTGTCCGGATGGCGGGAGGGCATGGGAGGATCTCGGCAGGCTGGGAGAGCAAGGGTCAGTCCTGAAGCTCAGCCCTGGCTCGACTCTAATATCTGCTTCCAGCTGGAAGCAGTGGAGGCGGTCTGCCTGGGCAGGGAGGGGCTGCTGCTCCATTGCTGGGGGACAAGGGGGACCCTTTCACCCCAGAGACCACTGTCCACCCCATTTGAGTGGGTATGACCCCCCAGACTTGGGGACCTGCTGGCGGGTTACAGCCGCTGGACCCCGGCAGCCCCAGCGCCATTTGCATCTCATTTCCATGTGAAAGGAGCAGGTCAAGTTGAAAGTTGAAAGGCTGGTGGGGGGCAGCCGGGAAGGGGCCGCTGCCGGAGGTGAGACCCCAACAAAAGGGGCCGGATCCCCAGGGCCCGGCGCTCGCCTGGCCACGGGCTGCGGCCACGGCCCCATGGCAGCCGCCATCTGCGGGTCCGTGCCGCCACCACCGGCCAGACAAAGGCCTCGTGCCCGGCATGTCCCCATCTGTCACCTCCCCAGCTCCTGGCTCCCTGAGCAGAGACCAAATGGGGGGATCCGGGTGCAGGCAGCATCCTTCCCTCTGCCCACGGGGAGCGGGGTGATGCTGGGCAGAGCAGGAGCCTCCCCATCGCGTCCCCATGTCCCTTCTAGAGTGGTTCTGCAGAGCTCTTGCTGGGGAAACAGAGGCAGGAGCAGAGGGTGGTTTGCCCTGGGTCAGGGCATGGCAAGGGGATGAAATAAAACACCAGGAATTAGCAGCTACCAAGATGAAGGGGCTGGGGGCTCCCAGATCTTTGGGGTGCCTCTGCATGGGGCTGCCTACACTGCACTGAGCCCCAGTAGGTGCTACCAGGCACCTGCAGCTGCCTCCACCCCACATTTCCAGGGAGGAATTGGCCTCTGAATGTGTTTCTGCTCATTTGCAGCTGCACTTACCTTTCAGGAGGTCCTGAGAGTGGCACCAGGAATGTCTGTGGGAGGTGAGAGCAAAGGCAGTGCCAATGCCTCTGTTTCCAAACACCGTGCCCTTGTCCCTGGAGCAGCAGGGGAGGTGCTGCACCAGGTGCTGGGGAAGCATTCCTGCAGAAGGTTGCCCTCCCGGAGCATGTCCTGGGATGCTCCCGGGGAGGGCGAGGCACGGGGCGCTGCCTGGCTCCAACGCCCTGCTCCGACGGGCCAGACGTGCCCGGGCAGCTCCTACAGCCTCCTGCCTGCACCCGTGCAGCCTCGGCAGCCGTGGGGGGATGCAGCCCGAGGGCTCTGCCCTCGCCTACCGACCGGGCAGGGATTTTCCAGCCGAGCCCGTTGTGTGGATCTGAGCCTAGGGTAGCCCTCTGGTTCCCAGACAGCTGTTTACTGTGTACTTCCCTTGGCTCTTCTCCCTCCACCAACTCCTTGTGTTGCTCCAAGAGCAGTTTGAACAATGCAGGACTGTAACTGAGCTCATTCCCTCCATGCAGAGCTGACTCCGGTACCATGGAGCAGGAGCCACCCTGGGGCTGGGGTCAGGCCTAGGGGTTCAGGTGGCTGTGGGTTTGGTGACCCTGCTCGAGTGTGTCACCTGCCTGCCTTCCTACTCACCAGATTATTTTCCTACACTTTGGAATTTTTGCTGCCAGGTGCATGGGGAAATAAGGCGAGTTTTCCACATCAGAGCAGGCCCTGCCAGCTGGCCGTGCCGGTGACACGGGGGGACTCAGGTGCCCACAGGAGGGCTGGGAATTTCCCTGTCTCCCTCAAGCCCTGACACAGCACCAGGATCCTCTGCCCGCAGTGGGCAGCGACGTTCAGAAGGGTTTTGGCTGTGCCCGTGTGAGCACCTCGGGCCATGAGCGCATCCGGGCTGCCCAGCCGGCACCGCGGGCTGAACCGGCACTTGGAACGTCACCAGGCACCGTCACGCTGCGTGACGCAGCCTGGCATGGGGGAATGCCCCGTGGTTTCGATCCCGTGTGAGCGCTGAGCTGCCTCGGAGGGCGTCCTCACCCGGAGCTGACTCAGCGGCAGCCGCCGCACGCGGAGCTGCTCCAGCGCCCGCCAGCCACCGTCCCGCGGGGACACGGAGAGGACGTGGCTGGGTAGCAGGAGGAGCGGGGACATTGGGACAACGTTGGGACGCCCTCAGAAAGAGCGCAGGGGGAAGCAGTGTGGCAGCTGATCCGTGCCGAGGAGGCTCCCACGCCGCAGGGCCGATCCAGGTGGGTGGCGGAGGTGGTGCTGGTCCCGTGCCGGTCCCGTGCCAGCAGAGTGGGGCTGGGTGAGCTGGTGAGGGGTGGGTCACAACTGCACCCCTCTGGAGCAGCTCCGTCCAGGCAGGAGGCGACCTGGTGTGCCAAGTGATCCTGGCTGGGCTGCCCACCCCAGGAGGGCAAGGAGCTGGGGCCATGCTGGGTGTTGCCCAACACTCAGATCCCCACGCTCCGGCTGGGCCTGGGGCATGGGATAATATTGGGGCACAGGGATAATGTTGCCGTGTTTTGGGGTCTGTTGGAGGGCGGCTCCACTCGGCTCGCCTTGGCTCAGTGCAGCCCAGCTCAGCGTGGCCGTGCCAGCACAACGGCTCAGCACCACAGGAATGTGGAGCAGCAGGTTGTGCCCGACCTGGCTGTCCGTGCTGGGGAGGGGACCCCACACCGGCCACAGGTGACTGCTCTGAGGGACCCTGTGTCCTCATCCCTGTGCCCCAACAGCCACCTCTGCCATGGCTTGGCCCAGGGCTCAGTGTCTGGCACTGAGCTGAGCTCCAACACTCGACATGGGGACACTTATCTCCTTCACCTTGCCTGGGGGGCACATTTGCATCCTGTGCTAAGCCAGAGAGCCCTCCCTGTGGCTGGCACAGGTATGAGGGCAGCAGGGCTGGACATTGGCATGGGGTCTGGGCAGTGCTGGACCCAAGGGGTGCTGCAGAGGGGTGCAGAAAGCTGCTCCAGTGAGGAGGCAGGAAGATTTGCGCCGGTGCTGGGACCGTCCCCAGCTGTCACCATGCCTGACCGCCCCCCTGCAGACACTTTCCAGGTCAGGAGGCAGCGTGTCCCCCCAGGCAGGGCATGAGGACGAGGACAGGGACAGCCATCCTCCCCCAGGCCTCTCGCCTGTCACAGCGTGTCAGGCGGACACACCGTGTGCTGTGCAGGAACCCTGCTGGGGTGCAGATCCTGAGGGGGCTGGGGCAGGCACAGTGTCACCCCTGGGCTGGCAGGGGGTGCAGACGTGGCTCAGCTGTGGCTCAGCCATGGTTTGGCAGGGCTGTGGGTGCCGGGGCTGGCTCCTGCCGCCTGCGGCCAGTGCTGGGACAGGCTCTGGGCTGCACCCAGGAAGTTTGTGCAGGGAGTTGAGTGGGTGACGTGACAGCTGCCTGCTCGGGGCTGCCGTGAGAACGAGTGGGGCCACAGCCCACTGGCCCCCACCGTGCCCACCACTGCTCCTGGTGAGTGCCGGGGCTTGTTCCCACCTCCTCGGGGCTCACCAGTGCCCCAAATCAGGACCACTGGGGTGGGATCTCAGAACAGCTCGGGAAGGGGGCTGGGGGAGGGAGTTTGAGCCATATGTACCCCTGTGTGCTCTGCCATTGCCTGAGCTTCCTTGGGTACTGGGCCCCTTCCTGGTGTGCCCACCCCTGGGTAGGGGGCTGCAGAGGGGTGCAGGGCTGGTTTGGGTGTTCCCCCCCTTCCTGCTGTGGGCGGGCTGGTGCCTCTGCACGGCCGTTGTGGCAGCGGCTGCGCTCGTTGGGGTTGGCAGGGGCCCAAGGACACGGGGTGCACGGGGCCCCACGCTGCTCCCAGCGCACTGTGGCCGGGGAAATGCTGGTGGAAACCCCCACTCATGCTTTCCAAGGAGCTCCAGGATGGGAGCAGTGAGCATGGGAGCTTGCAAGAGCAGCCAGGGTGTTTGCATAGAGGGCCTAGAGTTGAGGGAACAGCAGAGGGAGTGGAGCACTGATTCCCCCAGCCTGGAAGGGTGGTGGGTGAGGAAACCCTGAACCTGGGAGTAGGCAATGCACCCCTCGGCATGGGTGATGTAAAGATGTGGGTGACTGCACCCCGGGAAGCAATCAGTGCTCCCGTAGGAGCACGCAATGCACCCCTGGGAGAAATCAATGCTCCTCTGGGAGCGGGTGACACATTTGTGGGTGCAGGAAATGCACCCCTTGATGTGGGTGATGCTCCCCCTGGGCACATTCAGTGCGCCTCTCGATGCAGGCGGTGCATCCCCGGGCACAAGCGATGCGGGCAGAGCACGGGTGAGGGGTGCTGGGCTCTCCCCGCCCCACTCGCTCCCCAGGGTGCCCCTCGCCGGGGCCGGCCCCATTGGCCCCGGTGCGGTTTGAAGCAGGCGTGCGGCGCGGATTGGCCGGGGGACGTGTCGGGGAGGCTCGGCGGTGGTGGAGGCGTGGTGTCTGCCTTCAAATAGACAGCCCGGGGCCGGCGGCGCAGCCAGTGCAGCACCGCACAGCCCGGGCAGCCTTTGTCTGCCGCGGGGCCGGGGCGCGGGCAGGGGCAGCATCGGCAGCATCGGCAGCATCGGCGCCGCGCTCACCCCGGTCCCTCTCCGCAGCCGACGGCACGAGAGCCCCTCGCTGCCCGTGGCGGCCGCCCACCCCCTGTCCCGCTGCCGGCACGGAGGATGCCCGTCGAGGCGCTGCAAGCCGGCGACACCATGAAGGGGGTGACGGTGACAGCGCCTTTCACCTCGGTCATGCCCGTCCGCATCCTCCGCAAGGGCCCCGCGTATTTCCGCCGGCACGCCGAGCCGGGGGCCGCGAAGCCCAGCGCAGTGGAGAGGCTGGAGGCCGACAAGGCCAAGTATGTGAAGAGTCAGCGGGTCGCCAGCACCAAGCAGGAGCCGGTGAAGCCACTGCTGCTCAAGCAGCCCCTCTTCACGCCGGGGGTGCGCCGGGCTGTGCTCACCCCCAGCCGCAGGGCACCCGCCAGCCCGCGCCGCGCCGAGGCTGCCAGCCCAAAGGCCTCCCTTGACCTGGAGATCCTCAACAACCTCATCAACCTCTGTGACAGCCCCTTCCCTAAGGCTGAGAACCCACTGGGCAGGGAGTGCAGGTGGCGGGCAGAGGTGCCGGTGGCGGAGGGGCCTGGCAAGCCGCCGGAGAGCCCCACCATGGCCAGGCCCCCCGGCAGCGTGGCTGTGCGGAGGGTGGACGTCCGTCCCTGTGGAGCTCCACGGAGCCCAGTGACACCGGTGCCCGCGTCCCCTGTCCCAGGTGGGCTGCCTGTGACCCCGTCTCGGAGCTCACCCGCCCGCCCCGAGAGCGCCCGCCGGCAGCCGCTGCTGCACCGCTCCAAGTCGGACCTGAGCGACCGGCTCTCGCGGGCCACTGCCGACCTGGAGCGCTTCTTCAACTACTGCGGCCTCGACCCCGAGGAGATGCAGGACATGGGGGCCGAGCGCTTCGCCCGCGCCAGCTCCGACATCGTGTCCCTCAAGTTCCACAGCGTGAGCACGGCCAGCTCGGAGGGCGGGCGCTCGCCGCCCAGCGCCGCCACACTGGAGGGGCGACCGGCCGAGCGTGTACCCTACGGCATCTCCGTCATCGAGCGCAACGCCCGTGTCATCAAGTGGCTCTATGGGCTGCGCCAGGCCAGGGAACCCCAGCAGGTCTCCAATGTGTAGCAGTGCCATGGTGGGCACCGGAGATGGGTTGCTTGCAAGCGGGCAATGTTGGATGGGGACAGAGCCCAGGCTGTGCCCTGGGAGGAGCAGGGACCTCTTGGCTGTGACAGGACCCTTGAACTCAGCCCCCCCTGTGCCACAGCACCACTGGCCCGATGTGGTGGCTGGGCATCCATCATCAGACCCCTGTGGCAGCACTGGCGAGTCAGGCCCCTGCAAGCCTGTGGGAAGGCAGAGGATACGTGTGTCCCTGGGTGTGGGGCTGGTCCCCAAAACCCATGGAACCCCATGTGTGGCTGCCCTGCCTGCTCTACTGGCAGCTCCTGCCTGCTGTGCTCCTCACCAACACCCATGGGTGGGGTGCAAGGGGCTGGTTCCCCCCTGCACGGAGCAGGGACACAGCCCTGGGGAGGGAGCTGCCCCTGTGCAGCCTCCACTGAGGGGGTCCCACTGCCTGAGGTGGGGGCTGTATCCTGGTGGCCCTGTCTTATTGCTGAAGGTCTGGGAGAAACTGGGTGCTTCAGGGGGTGGGGGGCAAACCTGACCCCCTGCTTGGAGCCACCCAGGGCTGTGTGTGTGCGTGTGAGTGTCTGTGGGTGCCTGTGTCCCCCCCGGGCTGCCAGAGGGCCTGCAGCCCACACCATGCTGGACCTGGTATTTATGAAGACAGAAGTTCCTCTTTTCTACTGTTTTTCCTGATGTTTCATGTGTAAATAATAATAATGGTAATGCAGCCAGGTTTATTATTAAATGTCTGTGTTTTGGAGGCTGTGCGTTGTCTCTTGAGGCGGTGGAGGTCGGGATGGGGCAGGGACCCTTGGTGTGCCTGCGGATCTGCAGGACTGGGGGCGCTGAGCGGGTGGGTGCTGGCAGGAGCGATGGGTGCTGTGCTGTGGCGTGTCAGCGCGGGGCCCGGCGGGCACGGCAGGGTGGTGGTTGGGTCTGGCAGGTCCCGGCAGAGCCCCAGTCAGTGGGATTCCCCTCTGTGCCATGCAGCCCTCCCCTGCCTCCTTGCCTCTCTCCAGCAAAGCTTGGCTGGATCCTGGCTCCCCCGAGACTGGGAGATGGGGGTGGTGATAGTGGAGACCTCCCAGGCGGGCTGGGATGAAAGTTGGTGCAGGGAGTGCTTTGAAGATGAAAAGCGCCTCTGTGTTCTCCCAGGGCAGCCCTGCGTGGCTGGGGCAGCACTGGGGCCCCCTTGACTGGGGCTTGCACACAGCACCCCATGAAGAAGCAGTTCCCACCCCAGCCCAACTCCTGCACTGTGCATGTCCACCCAGATCTGCAGCCTGTGGAGCAGGATTCGTCCAGCTCCTGCTGGGATATCAGCAGGGCTGGGTGTTGGGGATGTGCAGGGCAGGATGTTGTGGCAGGACATGGTGACAGGACTTGGTGACAGGACTCGGTGACAGGATGGCATCTGGCTGTGAGTCAGGCTGACAAAGTGCTCTGGGGAAGACACACATACCCGGGGGATCCTTAATGATGGCACATGGGGCACCAGGTGTCTCCCCAGGGAAAACACCCCGGAAATCAGAGGGGGACAAGGACCCCAGGCACCCGCCTGGGGACAGCCTTCGCCCTTGGGGAAATCTCTGAGGGAACCGGATCCCTGCTGGTGGCTGGGACCGGCTGTGCTGCTGGATTCCTCAGCCTGGCGTGTCCCAGGGCTTGGTCTAAATTTGCTGCTATGGCGAAGGAGCCGGGGGGGCATGGGCTAAGCAGCCACATGTTCCCCAGGCACCGCCTGTCCTCGGTGTGGCTCTGCTGTCCCAGTGTCCTGCGTGGCCAGGGCCTGACGTGGCTGTCCAAAGCCCTGTGTGCTCATGTGTGCAAGCATGATCCTGTGCACGCATGTCCAAGGGTATGTGCCTGTCCACGTGCACGCGTGTTTATGTACATGATTTCCGTGTGCATGCGGATGCACGGACAGCAGCCGTGTTCCCGAGGCAAGGGTCTCCATCTGACCTGGCACTCACTAGGACTGCCAGCACAAAACCCCGGCACAGACGTGTCCAGGAGCATGTGCCCCCCTGGAATGCCCCCCTGTCGCCTGTCCCTGCTGGGGACAGCAGGGCAGCTCCCTGCTCCCTATCGCTTTCCCTGGCAGCTGCCTCCCCGTGGCTCCGGTTTCACGGGGAGTGCAGCTGAGCCCGTCGGTTATTCCAGGGAGGAGGGGAAATGCCCATCACTGTCACCAAGCCCCCCAGCCGAGATCTCCCATGGGTGCCCCAAGCGCAGGCAGGAGGTGCAGGCAGCCAGCCAGGACAGAAGGAAAACCGGCAGCACCGCCCCCTGTGTTTTCCATTTTTTAATTATTCCCCACTGATGAGCATCTTCTGGAAGCGCCAACGACGTCACGTGCTTTAATCAGTGTTAATTAGCGGGTGCCTCGGGACAGAGATGAGGGGAGGCAGCAGGAGCCCCCCCGCTGCTGCGTGCACAGCCGGTGCCAGTGCCAGTGCCAGCACCCACCACTTCCCACCCCCAGCCCCATCTTTAACCACAGCCCCCTCCCCACCCGCGACCTCCAGACCCATCCTGGCTATCCTGGGGCTCTGCCAGCCCCCTGCCAGCTCAGTGTCTGCTCACAGTGAGTGCCTTCCAGCACTGGACCATCAGCCATCCCAGGACTGGGCCCCCTGAGGGTCCCCACAGGCACCCCCTGCTCTTTTTGTCCCCTCTGGTGGCCGGCCCCATCCTGTGAGGAGCAGTGCCTGTCCTGCCATGCAGGAAGACAGTGGCTTGAGCCACATGTGGAAGGGATCAGCCTGTGTCCCCCTGCATGGCTGTGCCTGGGCAGAAGGGGATGGAGGGATGCCACCAACCCCAGTACTTGTGAGGATCCCTGTCCCACCCAGCTCCTCTAATCCTGCAGGAAGGCGGGATGGTGCGGGCTTTACAATGCCCAAAACCAGTGAAAAGGCAAAGCCCCCACCATGCCTTGGAGCCCATCTGAATGCACAGTGGTCCCAGAGGTTCTCATCACTGTGTGGGGGGTCTTGGACACCTGTCCCCAGGGCAAACCCCTGAGTCCCAGCAGAAATCTGTGGAGAGAAGCTGAGGTGGGATCAGGGGGTTTCCATGTGCCAGAGCCCACTTCAGCTGGACTGGCTTTGTCTCAAGGCAGGGCCCCCAGGCCAGCTCCTTCAGCACCAGCACCCCTCACCCCTGCCCGCAGTCCCTCCGGCACGGCCATGATGACACTGCAGGCATCTGGAAAATGGGATAAACAAGAGTGAAAAAAAAAAAAACAACTGGTGGAAAAGGTTCCCTGCAGTGGCCAGGGGAGGGGGTCTCAATCTTCCTCAACCATCCCTTGTCCTGGACTTCTCCCTCTGTGCTGGCACCGCTCTCAGTGCCTCCCTGACTGCCGGCACATCAGAAGCTGGTGGGTCGGATCATCATGCGAGTGCCCCTCAGGGAGTAGCTGGGCCCCTGGAAGTGGTGCCAGCGGATGCCGTTGAGCTTGCGGATGTTGTTCCGGGCTGGGTAGTAGATGCCGTTCAGGTTGGAGAGGCCACAGGCGTCGAACCACCATCCTGCGGGGAGGGTGGCACCGTGAGCGGGCACCCAGGGGTGCCGCGCAGGGGTCCCCCCCTGCTCCACTCACCTCCCGAGAGCATCTGGGCACACTTGCAGAGGCAATTGTCGTTGTCGGCGTCGCGGGTGCTGAAGTGGGTGCCCTGCAGGGCCAGGCCACTCTGCTGCCCGGCAGTGCCACTGTAGTCCTGCAGTGACAGCCTGCGCCCAGCAGGAGCACAGTCACCGTCACTGCCGGCTGCTGGGGGGTCACAGAGCCCCCCAGCCCTGCTCAGGGAGGCCGTGGTTGCCACGAGCTGAGCACAGCATGGATGGATGCAGGCAGGGATCCTGCACATCCAGCTTGGTGGGGTCCCCAAGGGTGGAGGCTGTGCTATGCTGGGGCAGAGAGCACCGCGCTCCAAATCTCCTCCAGTCCCCTTCGCTGGGGCCCAGCTCGGTGCATGCATGGGATGGATGGTGCAGGAGATCTCCAGAGTCTGGTCCCACTTCCAGCCCAGCAGGGAAGACCCCAGAGGGCCCCCCTCCTGCCTGTTGCCAGGAGCACACAGTCATGGCAAGCTGGACATCATTAGCACAGCATCCCTCCCCAGACATGGGCAGCCTGGGGATGCCTGGCACCCCCAGGAGTGCCTGGTGACCACGGCTGTGTGACCCCACTTGCCCAAGCAGCGAGCTGCAGTGCAAGTGCCCCCTGCAGCTGCCTGGGATAGGAACTCCCTCTGGGATGGCAAATCCTGCTGCCTTGATGCAATTCTATACATTAAAAATCCGCTTCTCAGGAGTCCAGGAAGAGAAGAAAGAGTGCGAGGTGGCCGCCCTTGCAGTGCCTCTCTCCTACCTGTACAGCTGCCGCTCACTTCCCAGCTGGAATTTCCCGTACTGGGCATACACCTGCCTGCCCTCCCAGTCCTGCAGCTCCACTCGCAGGGCGTAGGGCACCCGGCTCGTCAGCAGGTGCACGGCCTCGTTACCCAGCCAGTACTCCCCTGCTGCATCTCCAAAGCCCTGGGGAACAGCAGGGTGGGTGAGTGCGGGGTGCCCGAGGTGCCCCCAGGGTGTCCCCATCCCCAGGAGGGCACAGACCTGCTTGTACTCCCTCCAGCTCCTCTGGAAGCTGAGGCTGCCGTTGGCACGAAGCTGGATGACAGTCCAGCCCCCTTGGTCCGTCTCCATGTCACAGTAGGCCTGTAGAGGGGAGAGGAGGATGGGCTGGGGATGGCTTGGAACGGGCAGTCAGGGGCATCCCCCAGTGGACTGGGCAGCTTGGTGCGGGCACTTCATGGGTGCCAGGGCTTGTTGAGGGGCTGTCAGGCGTGTGCTGTGCCCAGTGCCTGGCTGGGGGGTCACTCCTCCCTCCATGGCTGTGGGCAGGTGCTGGGGCATGGTGTTCACAGGTGAGGTTGCCTCTAAAATCAGTTTTATCCCTCCATCTGGAAGGCTGTGCCAGCCCTGCCTTTACTGGGTGGGTGCTGCCTCCAGCCCTGAACAGCCCCTGGGGCCGGATCGTGTGGGGAGAACTGCCCTGGGATGTGCCATACCCACCGTGGTCTGGAGCTGGTGTGCACTGGGTTGCACTGGGGTGGGAAGCACCCCGAGGTGCTGCAGGGGTGCCCTCCCCAGGCTATGCTCACCTTTTTGGGCTCGCTGAGGTTGGCGATGTGCAGGGTGTACACGCCGCTGGTGCGGATGCCTGCCCGGCGCACCTCAGCACAGTCCTGGAATTGCTGCTCCTGCCCAGCTGACATGGCTGTGGCAGAAGGGACAGCGAGATGGCAGAAGCCCTGCCAGCCCCACAGCCCTGCCTGGTTTTGCTGCTCTTCCCTCTTCCTTTGGATGCCTTTGTGCCCACGGACTATTTTTCCTCCTTCTGTGCCGTCTCCCACAGGCTGAGCAAGGCAGCTGTGCCACTAGGGTTGCTGCCAGCCTAACCCTGGGGGTTTTCCATGGCTGGGGAGGGAGTCAGGATATGAACACTCCCCCTGAGGGCTCTAAGCTGCTACTTAGGTGCAATGAGTGGCTCATTTTCTAGTGGAAGGTGTCCCTGCCCACGGAACAAGATGAACTTTAAGGTCCTTTCCAACCCAAACCATTCTGCAATTCTATGATTCTTGGGGTGAAATCACTCAAGCTGAGCTGAGCACCCT